TATGATCATCGTAATAACAGTAATAAAATTTTACCATTAAAATTAATTGTTCGTAATAACAGTAATAAAATTTTACCATTAAAATTAATTGTTAATTATAAAATTATATATATTTAATGAATTTTAGAAAATTTGCATAAAGTAAAACAAATACATTAGTTGTAATTTTTATTACATGTAAATTTCTCAAAATTCATTGAACATATTTTCTTATAATTAAATGATATATATCATAACTATATATATCTTATCTCGCTATCATATATCATAATTTAATTCAAAGTTAATATATAAATATATAATACTTCAATAAATAGTAATATTGCAGATTTTGTATTAAACAAAATGTACTGTAACTTGTTTATTTGTAAATGATATACAATAATACATAATAATAGTAATTATATATGTATAAATAAAAAGTTAAGTGATAATTTCACTAATTTCGAAATTTGTTTTCTATGGAATGCATGCAAGTTAGATTTTGTAGCCATCAATATTGTTTCTGAATATTTATTTCCTTTTGATACAAATAGTATGTCAATAGTATGTAATATTTAAAATCATGGTTGTATAAGCATGATATATCATATTACGAATTATAACTTTTTATCATAAAATCACATTTGTAATTAGCAGAATTATTTTCAACTATAGATATATTATATTTAAGTAATATGATACATTTACTTTCTCTGTAATTATATATTTTATAAATGTTTTTCAGACCTCATTGTATACATTATATCCATTTTTTGTAATGTATACTTCTTAATCTTAATTTTACAAAGGATCTCGTATATTTATTAAAATAAAATATAAAATTAATAGTGCTATATACTTTTATAATTTCTTAGGACGAAGATGGAGATATGTACAAAGAGAATGCAGTCAGTTTTGAAGAAACTATCATATCGTTGGATGAGAAATTTACTCAAGTATTAATTCGTCTTTTAGATAGAATATGTGATTTAGGATGTGATAACAACAATGAAAAACTTCTTAATGTCTTTTGTAGGTAAGTTTCATCGTGGAATTCATAAATATTTGTACTACAAGATATGCATAAGAAATGCAGTACCAATGAATAAAGTAAATAAAAAAATAATAATAAATAAAGTAATAATAAAAGATTTATTATGAAAAAATAAATAACAATAAAGAATAAAATGTTTTTGAGAAAAATGTTTTATTCTTTTATTAAAAAAATTACGAAGTACTACATATTTTGTGCTTTATATTTTATATGAATAAAATGTAAAAAAATGAAACTCTTCAACATTGTCATTATATTTTATTGTTTTTTTTAATTAGGCTAGATTTCAATTTATTTTATACTGATATTTTGATACGACGTGGAAGAGAAAAGACAATGCAAGAGGATGTTTCTGGTTAAATACTCAACACTCAGCAGAAGATTATACAGCCATAGGTATATCCGTAGCTTCTGATTAATCTAACATTGTAGAGTTACATATTTTGCATAATATTTATTTCAAATGTAACGGCGATTTGAAAAGATCGTTGATAGATAATATATAATATATCAAATCTATTATTCGATCAGTCTAGAATCTATATTGATCCTTAAACTTTTCAAATCGCCGTCATATAGAAACGTCCACAAAAGTTAATAGTATAGTAATTATAAAATAGGTGAACAAAATTTAATTTATTTATGCATTACATGTTTCATTTAAATTATTTAAATTCACTTTGAATGAATTTTTTGAAAATCGTGTAAATCACTAAAATAAAGACTATTTTGTACACTTAAAAAATAAAATATATTTTATAAACATGAAAAAAGATTTACAATCTAATAAAAAAATATTTTTATAATAATTTTATTTTTGAAGAATAATCTTTTATATTTAACAAATGTTAAATCTTTTATATTTATAACAAGTGAAGAAAGTTTAAAAACTATTTCGACGTGTTATTAAAAAGGCAATATTTAATCCATTCAGCCTAAATTACGAATCAGATTCGTGCACTTGATGTTACTCTAACTCGTACTTGTCAATCTTAGACAATTTTAGATATTTTTAGTAGATATTTGTAAATATTTATATGTACCAAGAGGAAAATATATATACGATTGTAACACTCGTAATACTAATCTCATTTTATGAAGTAAAACGTCTGCAGTTCGTCCACCGCAGAATTTTTGAAGATTGGATTAAAGCTATATGATTCAGTCTTAATATTGACTTTACAAAAGCGCTTTTAATCATGTATAAAAGATGTTGACCAATTTTACTAAATAGTTTATTAAATATAATAAAAATATTACAACAAACATAGATATAAAAATACAGTCCTTTCAATATAGTTACAGCTAAAAATTAACATGTTCAATTGTTGTTACAGTAAGTTAATAGATCTGGAAGAAGAATGGATATTTTAATTTCTACCGACTTCTTCAAGATTAAAATTATTATTCTCAATCTTCTGTTTAATGGAACCCAAAATGATTTCCATCGTCGCAAGTCTTTTTTCCAACTTCTCCAATTTGCTGAACATTTTTTCATTGTCTGATTCTCGACCTCTTTTTGTTAGAATATCTTTAGCCTGTTTCGTGACATATGGATCCATTTTGAAATTAGAGAGCACTTTATCTCTAGAGCCTTTGTCGGACTTGACATTGTGATACAATTTGTTTCCATATGCTTCCAAGATATCGTATGGTTTTACACTGAATTTACCATTAATCAAGTAATTGGGAAAGAGAAGAACTTTTTGAACGAGAAACGCTAAAGGATTGTACCTCCAGCTTTGCAAGTAGCTGCAACAAATCGAACATTGTGCCCTGTATATGAAAGGTGCTCGAACAGCCAGACTTTCAATATAAGCAAGGACTTGTATCCTAGAAATTAGTCCAATTAATTCCGCCTTACCGAGAATTTCTGCTGTGTCACTGACTGCTAAACCGTTTAGTAAATTGAACAAAACTATAGCGATGAGAAAGACAAACAGGATGAAGACAAGATGGCTAAGAATCGGATGCGACACGAAAGGAATATCATTAGCGTCGAATTCTCCGGTAAGCATGATGATCGTTTTGAACAGGGAATGTCCAGGATCCGGAAAATTACTATCGGACCCATCCTTGAAAAGTGTGAAGAAAGCAAACGCGAAGGCTAGGATGAGAAATACATAAAGCAGTAGGAAACGCACGAAGTTGAAAGACACTGTTTTGAACATTTCAATACCAGTGGACATTCGAGGATGTTTGCCAATTAAAATTACCATCTCCCAGGCCGATAATAATATCGTGATAGCTGCAGCTTCCGTAGAGGCATTGTTTAATATAACAAATCCTAGCACTATCAACGCAATTTCGATCCAGTTTTCTAAACTGGACACGTAATGGCACGGCGATGAAAGTAGTTGAAGGATCTCTCTGAGTGCAAGCAAGGCTGTCGCGATACCAGTAAGCACTCGCAGAACGTAAATGGAAGTTGATTCTTTTATATCTTTATCAACTGATTCACTTGAATTCGCGGATATTTGCGGATCTGTCGCGACGTAAGTGATCTGCAAAATGTACGTATTCAATAGAAGATAGAACAAAATGTAAAAGGTGAAGTTTAGATACAGGATATATCTTATTCGACGCCATTTTAGGTACAGAAAAGAAGACAACAGAGGATGCTTCAATATATGTTTTAAGCCACTGTTACTAGCAATGTATCGAAAAACGTCCATTTCCCGTTTCCCTTGATTAATTGTATTTTTCGTGATATTGTAGTTATCGTGAGGCATTAAACACTTGTAGTCAAATTCAATTGTATATTCGTTTGTTCGTTCTTTCTTAGCTTGTATGCAGCTGTCGAAGTATTGAGATAGAGTAGATATGGAAATATCGGCCACTGGTGGGACACCAAAATTATTCATATGACCGATGTAGCTTCCTTTCTCGAGTAACAGTGTCACTGCCTCGCGACAATCAGCTCTGGCTGCATAATGAAGTGGAGTATTTCCTTTGCCTATACATTTTCAAATATACATCATAAGCTTTATTATCTTTTTCTCTTTTTTCAGTTATAAATTAGTATGAAATAACTATACATATATCTTAAAAGTGAACACAATTGAAACAAATTTTTCAGGTGAAGCGAAAACTACTTAGGAACTTACAAAAAAAAATAGATATATTTGCATAATATTGTCATTAAACACATCAAATAAACTGTAAGAAATAATATTTAAATATTATTTTTATAATTTTATATTCTTATAATTATATATATATATGTAATACTTACTATCTGTGCATCGAACATCCACATTTTCTCTCTCCAGGATCAGATTTAAGCATTTTAAACGATCATCCATATTTGATTCTTCTTTAGCCGGTATACCAAGCTCTAAGCAAGCATCTAACAACAAATTGTTGTTAACGTTAACATCAGTCTGCAATAATTCACAAAGGATATTTGGTGAGCCTTGTTGAATTGCTAAACTCGCAGCTTTTTCCAAATTACATCCAATTTCTCTTGTTCTTTTCAGCAATGTAACAACCGCATCCTTCAAGTCCTTTTGCACGGCCATTTCAATCAGATCCTCCGCCTTGTCATTCACCACGTCATCTTGCATCATCTCCAAGCATCTTAGAAAATTGATTTCGTCATTAGCGCTTAAATAGTACTTCAAGTCATGAATATTTATGCCTCGTTTTTCGACAAGAGGTAATTGAAGATTTGGTAGCTTCTTCTCCAACACTTCTCTAGTCGTTTGTTTGTTATAGTCCTTGTAAGTATCCAAATTAAGAACGTGTCTGGTTTTTCCCAGAATTAGGTTCACCATGTCTCTTTGACCCTTCATGCCAGCCATATGCAAAGCGGTCAAACCTTTGTTGTTGGGAATGTTAGGACTGGCGCCTTTTTCCAAAAGCAGCAACGCACAATTCAAGTTATTCTCCTTCACCGCCATGTGCAGAGCCGTTTGCTGCCCAGCCTCCAGATTTGGATTTATCGTAGATTCGTCCAATAATATACTAAGGACATCCATGTGGCCATTTTCGGTGGCGAAGTGGATCGGTCCACGATTATGGGTTTCGTTCACTCTATTTATCTTCGCGCCTTTTCCTAACAGAAATTTCACGAATTCTGGAAGGCCATTCTTGCAGGCAATATCCAAGCAGGTTTCATTCGACCGATTTGGATAAGCATAGTTTATGTCAATAACGGATGGCTGCTTTCTTAAATTCTGCTCGACGAGACACTTGAAGTGTCGGAAATTCTTGGTTTGTAGATAATCTAGAAGCAGCTTGTATATAGCTTGAGATTTCGCAGAATTTGTAGTATAACTTTGCAAAAGATGCATTTGCAATTCCTCCTCAGGATCCATGTTTGAGTCTGCAAGTAAATCACGTTCATTGTGTTAAAGAATCTAAAATAAATGTCTAACAGTGTGCAGAAATTGAAAAACTTGAATGTCATCAAACAATGCACAGAGCATTTTAAGGTATAATATATAACAAATCCTATTAATGAACATGTCTACTTTATCAAATTATTTTATAAATTGAAAACTTTTTCTCAAGAACTATATAGGGATATCGTAACCACGTCCTGTTTTATTTATAAAGGATAATTTCGATATTTAATATCTTGCTATGTAAACATTGCTAAATTTCGTATATTATACTTGGAATGAAGCAGGATATTGCATGACAAGTGTGCGTAATATCCTACGTATTAAATGTATAATACGTAGGTGTAGAAATCATCACGATATAATTTCAGCAATGATGTCACCAACACGTGTTTTACCGAGACTAATGAAGATATATTACATTAATTCCTTAAAAGTATCTAACACCTATGAAATTTATAACTCAAAACAATTAAAAGATGTTAGTATTAAACAATTTAAAGAGACAATTCAAATATCAGACATTAAATTTATAATGCTGAAATAAGTCGAAAGAGATTGTTCGTCCTCTAAAATACCAGGCAGATATTTATCATGCATGGAAGTACAACTACTGACTCCGGATGCGTTTCCTGTCATTAGCATTAATTTAATTTCAGATAAATTGGGAACGTAGACGACGGTGTCGTTGATTACTGAAAAATTATTATACAATGTTATGGAGCTTTGTTATCAGTATGTGAATGAAAATAATTATAGCTATTGTAACGTGGAAAAATAATAATTAAGTCACAGGTCATTGACAGAACACTTTATTATTATTGGAATAGTGAAAAAGGAAATAGATAAAAGATAAGTAAAATAAACAATATAATCTTATTCTTATCGAGAATTTCATATGATATTGCTTCATAAAAGTATAAAATTGATCTAATTCTTCATGTACATTTACTGAAATTACAGACTATCAGTTGAAGCTTTGGCAATAATATTTTATATTATAAAATTTGAATTGCATCATTAATAATCTCTAATTTTTGAACGATAGTGTGAATGCTTCGATAATTTATAAAACTAAAATTATTTCAAAATTATTATTGTAATTTAAGTCAACGTATAATATAGTATATGAATTGTAATTATTAATTTTACATTGAATTTATCATTAATTTGAAGTCTGCATACTTTAAATTGATCCAATCGATTTTTAATCATATCTTTAGTCATATTTACATTATTAAATTATTATTAAATCATTCTACATGCTGTTACATATAAAACTCAAATATGAACATAATAAAATTTACATGGTCGAATGTACTAAATGGCGCACCTTTGTAATTTGTCGAAATCCACTTGTTACAGGCGGAGTATATTCAAATATATTTGGATGATTTATTCTATCATTAGATCACAAGATAAACATGATGATTGAACACTGCGAATAAAAATAAAAATGCATACACGTGCAACAATGATGTAAAAAAAAGTGAATCGTTCGACATACTGAATCTGTCATACAGAAGACTAACTTATAAGAGCTGCTTTTGCTGACCAGTTCTATGTATCGTGATGTCAGCATGGCTAAAGAGAGGGGAACGATCAAGTGTCAAGCAGCACTGATAATGGCCTAGAGACGTCTGTTGCTCATTGTCAAACGTATTAATTGAACGGTAAATTCTGAATAAATGTTGAAATATCTCTGAAAATTCAATATAATTATAATATAATAATCAGATATGATATGAAATTTAGAAAATTTAGAAAAAGAGATGATGTAAAAATTCATTTTAGTTAATATAATTAATCTGAAACGAAAAATTATGATGTATCAGAAGTAATGATTGTGATAAAACAATATGTATAAAAATATTTGGAGAATGACACAATATGATACAATAATATTCTTTTTAAATAATGGAAAAATTAGGTATTATATAATTAATAACAGAAGTATAATTAAATGTATTATTTTAATAATATGTATTACTAATCTACATCTAGTTTATTATTAGTATGGGAAAATAAGACACTATATAAAATTTTATAATTATAGAAAGAAATATATATTTTTTTATTTATAGAAGGTTGATTCTTATAAACTAGGAGGATATACTTATGTAAACCTCGAAGTCGAAGGACATAATAAAACATACCATTAATGCTTGTTAATATATGATAATGGTAAATAACACTAATCTACTTTCATTGTAATTAATAATTATACTGTGTCAGTTTCCTTTGTATATATTTACATTTATGAATGTTGTCACTTAAAACGATAACGTGAGTTTTCAATTTTAACCGATTTTTACTCTGAGATTACAGATATTACAAGGCCAAAAGAGTCGAAGATGAAAATCGAGAATGTTGGGGTGCGTAGGTTGCGAAATCCAGTATACATTCCCAATAAAGGAGCCAAGGAGATATCTTTTTATGTAAGTAGATGTCATCGGAAACGTTGCTTTCTAACAGCTTCAATAACGGTTTTTTTGTTTCTAATAATATTCTTCATTCTCAAAACGGAATTACATATTTTAATGTCCCTTAATCTTACCTGTACTCACTGTACTGCTTCTTCTTTTTCCTGTAACATATCGAAAGATGTAGTAATTAGATTGTATCGCGATAAGTATTCATATTTTGCTTGTTTCCAAATAATTTTCTCCAATTTTAGTCATATTTCATTTAGTCCAATCCTCATTTATTCATTTGACTTTGAAAATAACATGGCAATCTATAAAATAAAATATCTGTATTCTTTTTCTAATGAATTGTACTTTTCTCCGTGTTATTTAAATGAAACAAGGAAAGAGATATTCAGAGTTCAGTGGCAAGGTTCGATTTTTGAAAAGGAGAAATCAAATTGGCTTATTTGTTAAGGCCAGCGCCTGCGCGCGAGATAGTTTTGAACGTGGAGATTTAAAGATCGTGTGGTAGGGATGAACAAGCACATGCTGCGATAGCGCAACGTTTTATCTCCAGTCGCTCAGGAACTTATCTCAGGTGCAGGTGTGTTGCCATTAATTCCTGCGTTTACTTTAAAAATATTTCTTCCAGAAATCCGTGATTGGACCAGTTTAACTTCTTATCGTTCGCGGCTTTCATTCGACAACAAATCACATTTTATCAAGCGAAATCATCTCCCGCCTCGTGAAATCAAGGTAAACCCTTTATTTTACACATTTGTGATTGTGATTACGATTTAACAAAGATTATTATTAATTAGTCACAATTTGTCAAAGTGTGAATTATTCGATGCGTAATATTTTGTTTCTGTTTGATATCTCAGTTTTAATTAAATTTGTATTGAGCAAATCTTAAGACGAGAATTAGGTGTACGATGAAAGTTCGATATTATTAAAAGATTTTTATTATCCTGTTACAAATCTTATTGTCAGAAAATTTTAATAATTAATTAATAATTAATAATTATTTAATAATTAATTACGTGTTGAAAATGATGAATAACTGTAACAAATTGTAATTCAAGTTTATTAATTTTGCAAGGAAAGAATTAATTTGTTAATCAGTAGCCAGAATGTATGCTCTTCTAATGAAATTTATAAAGGGGAGATATTTTTCTCAATGAATTATACTTAAATATTTTCATTGATTGTGTAGTGTAAAGTCATAAACCGAGAAGTTTATGACTTTACTCTACTAATACCGCGGACTATAAAAACACGTAATTTTCTTACATTATGTTTACATCGATGAAGAATATTAAGGAATATTATTTGAGTATTGAATATTATTAAAGAACATTAATTCAGTATTAAGGGATATTCAAAAAATATTAAATAACATTTTACTTGTCATTTCTCTGTTGAATAATGCAGTCTTAATCACGTTATCTTTTATTTCTATTATCTTTCATTAATGTGTATATAATACGTTGTCTGACAAAAGTTAATTCATTTAATCGAGAGTAAATGTAAAATGGGAAAACTCACTATATTTTTCGGCTGCCAGTATACTAAATCTAGTAAAAGATCTCTACGATGAGTAACTCTGATTGTGAGTAATCCAGCGTGCTGTAAACAAATATTATGTCACCGCGATGTATTAATGAATTCGCCGACGATGACATTACAAAAGACATAAATGGCGATTTATGTCGTAGTGCCAGTTATTGTGTCGATAGGATCGGTGAATCACGGAATCGAATAGGTGCAAATAATTCGCGGTAAATTGTAACACGTAAATCGTATTTCGCAAGCAAGCGATCGTTGATCGATAAGGCAAATAAAAAGGTGATCATTCGCCTAAAAATAATAAAGTAATGTGCAATATTTCTTTTTTCTTGTTATCTAAGATAATAAGCGTGAAGAATGTTGTTGAATTTTTATCTTGATAAGGGGACAATTTCTGAACGTCAAATGTAACAGTCGATTGTGTAATGGTGACTAAAAACAACC